ATTACCTCACCAACGGCAACAACAGTATCTGGTACAAGTATTACCTCACCAACGGCAACAACAGTATCTGGTACAGGTATTACCTCACCGACGTCAACAACAATGACTTCAAATCATACATTACCCGCCAACCTCACCGCTGTCCCCACGAAAACAAATGGCACAACAGCAGCGCCATCCACCACAACGCCTTTTAGTTACAATAGTAAAACACCCATCATCAATAATTCAACACTGCTTACCACTGTCTTTGTAACAAATGTTACATCAACGGCACCAATAACTACAGCATCTCTGCAAAATGTAACGAACACCTCAGCGACAGTGACGGCGACAGTAAATACATCAAATAGTGAAACTTCAACAAATTCTTTCTCTACCGGAAGTAACGAGCCGCTTGTTATAACGAGCACTTTGGAAACGCCTTCCACAGGTACAATATAGTTCATTCATTTCAAATTTGATCGAAATTTTATAGTTCATTTTAAAACATTTTGATATATATTATTAATAATGGGAATTGAGCAAAACATGACTAACAAATACATCACCATATAATGCCTTTTTGAAATGTGGTATCGTTTTAGAAATTTGCCAATTCAGTTGGTTTTTTTATACATTCGGTTTCAAGATGATTGTCGGTTTATGTCAACATTCTCCATTCATTCAGTATCTATATCGATGCAGAATATGGACATTTTTTCCTATGTAATTATATGCCTTTTTTATTATTTTAATAATTATAATAATTTTCAAATTTGAACATGGACAAAATTATAAAATTACGTCATCACGTAATTTTGTCCACGATTTCACAAACTGGCAAATATAAAAACGTGTTTGTTTTAATTGCAGGCGGCAGTACGGCAGCGCCATCTAGTGGCGGGAACTCTGGGACACCTAGTGGCGTCACAGAGCAGACAGCAGTTGTGGCCTCTGTCGTTGGTGTAATCGTGGTGATTGTTCTGATAGCAGTGGCACTGTTTATCAGAAAGCGAAGGTGATAAAACATGATAATTTGTTCCTCTTATTAGGGTGCTTTCCCAGAGATTTAGATCGATCTAGAGATTAAGATTTAGATCGACCTAACTCCCTGGGGGTTCACGCTAAATTGCAGTCAGCCGAGCGGGCACCATAGTTAATTACCCCCTTACAGCTTTTAGTAGGCGGGACAGACGCTTAAGTCGGCCAAGCTGACAGTAATCTAGTGAGACTCCCCACAGGGATAGATCAATCTAAAAATCTATGGAAATGGGGTGTTAAGTTATTGTTGCTTGAATATGTATTTTGGAATATTGAAACGCCAATAGTATAGTAATTTTGAACTTCATACGACATCTACAGTACAGCATGACGGACAAAAAATTCTAAAAGCTTTCTTTCGTCTAAGTCTAAAAGGGCTGTTCAAACTTTTGAATTTTAAACAATAAACCCAAGACATATTATGTTTACGCATATTGTATAATTTTTCATGAGTCTTGCCGTAAGAGGGTAATTTTAGATGGCATTCTAGAATTTTAGTGCGAAATTGGTAAGTTTAGAGCATAAGTTTTAATTTTTTTAGATTTTTGGGAGAACTTGGAGCCCAGTTATGAAAATCCATTATTATTATTATTATTATTATTATTATTATTATTATTATTCACAGGAAGAATCGAAGTTATACCCACCTTACTGAGGTCTGTTCTATGGAGATCGTGGCTACACCTCCCGGGGGTGTGACAAGATACGGGAGCGCGGGAACCGTGGACCAAAGACTAACTCTGGCATGCTAAAGGAAAAGACTGCCATAGACACCATCCCCCATATACGTATACAACACCGGATAACGTAGATCGGTCCAACTCTTCGGGGACTCTCGCTGAGTGCAATCAGCTTAACTAAATGGCACGTCCCCTCTTGTTTCCAACGTACTCGTATAATCGCCGCCTTCTTTGTATTCTACTCAACGCCAACGTGTCATTGAGTTAATCTGATTGCACGCAGCGAGAGTCCCCGCAGAATTTGAGCGATCTACGTGGACCGATGGTGTCTTTTGTAATAGGATCATAGACCTCAGAGACGTCCTATAACTAGGCAATATATATATATATATATATATATATATATATATATATATATATATATATATATATATATATATATATATATTACGCAGTGTTTGCCTCTTAGGAAAAATAGTTGCTGGACCGAAAGTCCAGCCATCTTGAAAAGTAGCTGGACTGAATGTCTGCCAGGTGGGAAAACTTTTCAGCCCGTTCTGAAAGTTGTCAGCCCCGGGCAGATGGTCCAGCCTTAATTTCTAACACTGATATTACGCTTTGGACGCCACTGCCAATGATAATTGTGATGTTGATAGTAAGGAGTCGTTAATACTTCATCCCAGCCATAAACAACTTCCCCTGCGCAAGAATTTATAACTTCTTGCCCTGCAAAAATTTGTCCCATTTAACGTTCACTTACGGTTCTCAATCTATTGTAGGACGTAATGTTTCTCTCTTTATAATGAAAAATGTTCTTAGTCTGTTCTAGGAGGTTCTCAAGTACTTCCCAAGAACAGTTCTCCAACTGTTACCTTCATTACAGAACATTAGAGCTGTACAAAAAAATCACCGAATGTTCTAGAATAGATTGAGAACCGTAAGTGAACGTTTAATGAAACAAATTTTCGCAGGGGTTGTGATATATGTTTAATATTTATAAAAAATATATTAAATAATCAAAATAATTAAAAAAATTACAACTTAATTTACTTTATTATTCTAAATGTGATATATTTATTTATTGCTTGCACTGTAAGAGGTCGAGCAACTCCTTAAATTTGTAATAATTTTAAGTACATATATATAATGATTCAATTTTACAATACGTGCCATTATCATCATCATAACATTACTAATGTTTTGAGCCCATAACCAGGAATGAGCTTACATTTCTCAGCTCCGACATCTGTTTAAGTTTGGATTTATGTCATAAAAACAATCAGATTGCAAGGCAAGACGAGCTACAGTATGGTATAAAATTCTTTAATTTATTCATTAGCCATTAATTTAAACTAAGTTCATATATTTTTGCTCAGTGCATCAGACTGTTGAGAACGTTCCATGTATAAGATTATGAATTATACACAGTAATATAATGTAAATAGTGTACAGTGTTGAAAATAATATCCATTTGTCATTATATAATTGTTAAAGACAACGGACTTGATCGTAGTTAATAAAACACAGTACACATGACTATAGCCAAGGAGTTTCAACAGAAACTCATTGCTATAACGAAACATACAAATGATTTCAATATGTAATAGTTTATTAATTAATTAAAAAGCTGAGAATATTTTTTTTTGTTGTTGTTATGGACATTTTACTGCACAGTAATTGTTAATTGTGTGCAGTTAGATGTTTGGAACATATTCAATCATAGATCTCGATTGCAATGAAAGTTTCATGTCAAGTGTTATAATCATATCATTCATTTCTGAACACGCATTTTGACAGATTACCTAGTGCTACAAACAGCTGCTAAAAAATTAAGGTTACTGCTTGGATTATGATTTATTTCATAAAAAAAGCATTATTGAATATTGCACTTATTTACACCAGAACGACTACTGCACCAGCAAAACCTGCTGCTATGGGTGTAGTTAGTTAAATTGCCTGCTCTGAGATTAGCCAAAAATTTGTTGGATTTTTGATGCAAAACCATATAATATCACGATGATTATTTGCCATTAACTAACAGATTTAGATTTAAGTACAAAAAAGAGGCAAGTAAAGCAAATTTACAATTTTGATTTTCTCGACGAGGAAACTGCCAAAACAAATATTACAGAAGAAAGCTTCATATAGTGCCTTACATTTGTCAGAAGTGAGTCTTTACTGAAAAAAGCAACTGCCATGAATGAACTTAAACAATAATAATTATTATTTAGCACCTTTTAACAACACATTTTACAATTTAGCACCTTTTAACAACACATTTTACAATCATGATAAAAGAGTCTGGTCAATTTTAGAGCAACTCACATATGGGCTGAGCTACCTAGCTTGCTCATGGCATTGGTGTGTACAGGCTTGAGATAGAGTCCATGACATAACAATCAACACAAAATCAAATAAAGTAAACAAATGATGAATCCCCCCATCAACTTCATTTAAATAAAAATACACCATACAAACTATTGCAACTATCACACCTGTCATTTACACATAAATAGTGAAAATCTCCAAGAGCAGGATATTTTCATCCCTATCAAAAAAAAAAACTGAGTCACGACCACAGCTGTCAGGCTGGTAAAGTCAGTAAACAACTTGATTCCAGTGACGATTGGTCAGGTCTTGGTATCTCTGGAGGAACTTACTGGTTGTGATACTCTCAACTGATATCTCACTCCAATTGCAAGCGTCAACTTCAGGGGTGACTACAGACTTCATCATGACAACACACTTGCTCACAGTGTTCGTTTGGTGATTGATTTGCCTTAAGGGGCCCGCACACAGTGAGCATTTGGTGCACGCCACTTGCGCTGCGCCAGACGCTCGCGCTCCTCAGCTCCCCGCAAACGATGCGCTCTTTGCTCAGCAGAGCTGCCTCCCGGCCTGCCCCTAGCGGACCCACTTTGAACTGTGGGATCATGTGTTTAAGGAAACATTACATATTGTTGTTTTTTCTGATAGTAATGGATAATGGTGACCACGTTAATCAATTAGACTAACTATAACTGTGTACATTTTTGTTGACTTCGCTGGGGGCTGCCATTTTTGTTTGTTTCCGGCTACTGGCACATGCGCATTGTTAGCATGGCGTGAGCAATCGGCGCTTGCACCCCGCACACGCTGACACATTTGCCTCAAAAGACCAAAAAAATCAAACACGTGAGAAATTTTGCTCAGCCAAAATACCTCTGCACACGATGAGAAAACGGCGCAGCGCAAGTGGCACGCGCCAAATGCTCACCGTGTGCGGGCCCCTTTAGGCACGCAATGTTCTGATAATGAAACAACCATCTTTAAACCCTAATATTAATTAACTCTCTCTCCCCCCCCCCCCCCCCCCATAATGTGGACCAAATCCGTCAAGCTTTTCAAAAGGAATGGGACAATATTACACAAAACAAACTGGATAGACTGAAAGATGGATAGGCTGTCTGCAAATATCCAAAAGAACAGCACTGTTGAAATGGTAAAAAGAGACCTTGGAGAAGTGTGGCATACCCCCCTGAGGTTGCTGAAATATTTTCAGGTAAATTTGTTTATGTATTTTTTTTTTCATCTGTGTGTGCAGACTGTGTGTGACGAACAGAAAATGGATCTATTGTGCAGCATGTGCCCTTTCTTTGCTTTATCACAAAAAAAAAAAAGAAAAAAAAAAAAAAACTGATGAATCATATCCAGAAAAGACGCCCTACAAGTTTAGCTGCTAAACACATCATATTGCTAAACACATTCAGGTAAAATGCGTGTAATATGGGGGGAGATCATAGGCATCCACAATGGAACTCAGCACTGGAGTCTCTGACTTGGTCTATAGAACAGCCTGCACACAGGGTGTGGTACCACTTATCACAGTCATCACACTGCACCTGAAATAGAATACTTTACTGTAAGTACTCACATATTCCCGCCCATCACAATATTACCATCATTTTCCATTACTTACAAAAATGTGTTCAGAAACAAAATAAACTTGCTTTCCTGACTTTTTATGTGTTGTTATTTATACAACATCATTCAAGGTAATTTAATGATTTTTATTTGAATTCATTGCGTAAATTACCATAAATCTTGAACTTTGAACTGACATTTGCCACTGTTGAATAACATAAGCAATTTACATGGACGATTCACTTTAATTCTAATAAGCAACTTCCAAAAAATTACTAAAAAAAACAGTGAGATGATTTTTTAAACACTATTTTATTGCAAATAATGTTAAAGTATCTCAAGGAAAGGATTAACCTGGTTATTTAGTATATAATCAATTATAAGGTTACTTATCCAGTCCATTTCTAGTTCACTTTCCCAGTTCACTTTAAAGTCACCTACACAGTCCAGTTCAAGGTCACTAAAGTAATTCACTTTAAGGTCACTTATCTTGTTCTCTAAACTCTCTATGCCCACCCAGTCATTTACCCAGTCCACTTTAAGGTCACCTACCCAGTTCACTTTAAGGTCACTTACCCAGTCCAGTTCAAGGTCCCTACAGTACTCCACTTTAAGGTCACTTACCTATGCCCCCCCCCCCCCCCCAAGTCACTTGCCCAGTCCACTTAAAGGTCACTTACTTAGCCCAGTTTAGGTTACTTACCCAGTCCACTTTAAGGTCACTTGCCCAGTCCACTTTAAGGTCACTTACCCAGTCCACTTTAAGTTCATTTACTCAGTCCACTTTAAGGTCACTTACCCAGTCTACTTTACTCCCCGTGGGTTTCACACAGTCATAAGAAGCACAGGTGTCTTCATCATAGTGCCAGTACCAATCTTCAGACTTCTTCCTTTTCCTGCTACCAGCCGTATGTTTTCCTGGTAAAAATTAAGACATGACACCATTATTCATTCACTGCAATTTCTTAAAATGAAAACGTGATATACAAGAGCTTAAGTGGGATAATGCCATCCACATTTGCCAAAATTCCCTTTAGGATAAAAAAAATTGACTAAGAAAGATAACCGAGAAATTCTTAATGTTTTGACACCAATAACCTTTTTAACCTTTGTGCCCAATACATTTATTGTGGGTCCACTTAGGCC